TAATTTTCTCTTCATTTAATTGGCAGAGCCTCCTCCTCCTCCTCCTCCTGAAGTAGCCTGCAGGTTTATTAGTCCCACCGCAGTGGGCCTTCCTCTCTAGCAGCTCATTCATTTCACTTTGTTGTCAATTTAGGCCGTGAGCCTGATGACTTTGCCCTTTATCTGCCATTTAATTTTACACCCTAACTGATGATTGAATCAAGAGGCAATTAGAGAAAAATCCACCATAAGGGAGTAGTGATGTAATGTTATAGATCAGAGGGAGGTGGACTTTGCAGATGATGGACGTCCAGTCTGACCTGTGGCTGCCGAAATGAAACGTTACATGATTGGTGTGAATTCTGACAACAGTCACACGATAGGTTTTCTGTTCTGTATTATTCCTTTTCTTCTTTCGTCTATTTTCAAAACATTCATCTCATTCAGGGTGTCCATTTGCTCATTTCCCTTTTCCCAAGTTCTCAAACTTTTGTGAAATACTCACCTTTCTTTGCAATTGTTGGGATTCAGTCATAAATATATTTCAAACTATTAAACATCAAACCCTTCAGCTCAGGCTCAGGGTAGAGTTGGATGTATGATGATGATTTGGGATCAGTAGAATATGGTGGGATATTAATAATAAATAAAATAATAAAATAAAAAGATTTTTTCTTTAATATTATATTATTATATTATATTATTTTACCAACAGACACTTATTTCCCAACTGCTTGTGTAATAACTAATGCAGAAAGAAATACATTTCAGTTTATAAATGTCAGCTAACACATCAGGAGATTCTCCACTGGGGGTAGAAAGTAAATATAATGGACCTGATTGCACATTATTGATGTAAAAATTCAGTTTGCATACAACAGCTCATTTAAAAAAACATGATGAATTTTAATACATGTTGACCTCAATTCTCATGACTCGATGAGGCTATGCACAGCGGACTTTGGCATCATTCCTAGATCCACATTGCTAAGTTGGCTCGTAGAAGCAGTTAAAATTATTGTGCATTTGTTTTTCTGTTTGCTTGTTTTTCTCATTGTTTTCTCAAACACTCGACTGCACTGCACACTCATAAAAATGTGTGTTATCACACATGAGATCACCATGTGCCAAAATTACATTTGTCCAATATGAAAATAATCAGCTTCTGTTTTTAAAAATGGCATTTAGCAGGATGAAAAACCCCATCAAAGACCAGTCGGGGAGGTCGTATAAGATTTTGCCTTTGAGAATTTATATTTCATTCTGCTGAAAAAACATGTCAGACTCATCTGGTATCATGAGATCTGAGTGTGAATTAAGAGGTCGGCTCAGTGGGATCTGAGGAAACAGACAAATGTTGTGATGCCCAGAGGGAAGGCCAGTGCCATCTATTAGCCCCAGTCTGAGCATAAAAAAGAGATTCACATGGCTGTGTGATTAATGATCAACTTAATGATGCTCTGAGAAATTCCCCATGTTAACAAACATTACCCAGAGAGCACGTACCTCAGCCAGGGCCTCCAAATGAAACCACCTTCTTGATTATTTTGGTTTGGACCTGCACCAAATCGCACAAATTGCATAAACTTAAGATACAACATTTTTTCCACCAAGATCCATGAATTATTTGAAAAAATGTTAACCTGAAAAATAAAATGTCCTGGACTCAGTCCCAGATCCAGATCCACATCAAAATTTAATGGAATCTTTTCTGACCCATATCACATCCTTCCACAAAGTTTCATGATCATCCACCCAGTAGTTTTTGTGTCATCGTGCCAACAAACAGAAAAACAAGCAGCACTCACCAGAGTTCATCCCTCCACCAAGGCCCAGCAGTCCCCTTATGAAACCACGTTTAAATTAACTAGATCCTGACTTTTATTTGGATTTGCACCCAATTCCTCTCACTTCTTATCAAGCCTGATTTCTTTCATCAAGATCCATGACTTGTTATCTAACTCTATATTGCAATGTTATAGAAAGTGAAACAAAATTCCCGACCTGCATGTTAATGTGAGGGGTTCCTCCCCGACGCCTACCGCATCCTTCCAACCAAGTGTTGTGTTACTCCCTCAGTAGATTTTAGGTAATCCTGCTAAGCAACAAACCAACCGACACACAAACAGACAGGGGTGAACACATGGTTGAGGTTAATATAATTTTGTACATGTCGTATGTTGTGAGAATGTTATTTTCACATCTGTTATCTGCAGTGATGTATATTTTAGATCTTTAACAGACAGACAGGTTTGCAATATACTGGCAGGTGCTGTTTAAATTTCATCATGCATTTTATATTTGCCATCCACTGCCTGTGTTAACTTTTCTGCCCTATTTCGCTGATTAACAATGAGCACTGCTCACTGGTGTTTGGTTAATAAAACAGATAAATAAACCTGCTTCAGTCGATCAACAGCAGCTGCTTTGTACCAGGGCTGTATGCTCGTGTGCTGCTGCCGTGCGTGCCCGTTGTCCACACAGCACAAAACGATAAACTGCGTCGCAGAAGGTCATGTTCAGAAGTGTGGGAGTACAGCAAGATGGGAAGGAGGTAGACAGATTGAGTGTGCCGTGGAAAAGCCATCAACTGCCCCCCCCCCCCCCCCCCCCCCCCCCCGCAACCTCCCCTTCCATTTTCAGCTCGGTGCACTCTTTAGCAGAATTATTGATGGCGCTTGTGAGGTACAGACGACCGGGATGAGGATGTCTCAGTCCCTGGGCTGCAAAACAAGAGCTAAGGCAAAGGGTGGGGCAGCTGGAGGAACAACACATGCAGTATTTATTGCTGGGTTCAATAAGAGGGGAGAGAAAAATGGAAGTGATCTCGGAAATAATGCAAGACGCAACTCATCCGATACTGATGTTACTGTATTAGCAGTGATGGAAGATGCTGTCTTTATTAATGGGGCGATAACACATGCAAAAAAAGGATACAAGCCCTGGGTTCATTTCCACTACAGGATATTCACCTGCACATGGCACTGACTCACCAGGAAGCTGGAGAGAATATTTTCTGTTTGAATATACTATATAGAATCTATCTTAGTGGTCATGGTACATTACGTGCAATACAAAAGAAGTCCCTGTGTTTCACAATGCATGTCCATAGGTTGTGTCAGTGATTTGCAAGCGAGTGGGTTTATTATTCACGATGATGTCCTGTGTCTGCAGTTTCATCATGCTTACAGTACCTTACTCATCTCCTCTTCAAGTTTTTGTGCTAAAAGATCAATTGTTTCTCTCTATTCCCAGGATGTACGCCATTATGATGCTGCTTTGCACTGTGTGTAGATAAAAATAAAGACAGCACAGGGAAAAAGAGGAGACACATGGGATTTTCTCATGGCACTTTTAGAGACAGCTAGGGTTAATGCTTTGTTTTATTTATTTTCTGAAGCCGTCCATGACTACAAAATATTCTGTAGTGTCTCATTTGAACGTGTCTGTTTCCATTCCCCCCACAGATGACAGTTAATGAATCTCACTGCCCCAAGATTCATCAGTAAACCCATAAACATGTTTATTTATAGGCAGACGTGACACAACACTATGTCCCGTTTGATGAAGAAATGTCAACAGTGTTTAAAGAGTGAATGAGATAATCATCAGAAGGTGACATTTAATAATGCGGTCTGCACAATAAATAAATAATTAAATAGATTAATATATTAACACATTTGCTGTTATTTTCTTGCATGTTCCACATTTTTTGTCTGTCTTTACTGTTCCTGTCAAACAAAGCAGAAAAGAAACATCCCAAATACTTGAAACTGGTTGATAGAAATGAGGCAGCTCGCTCCATGATGAGGACTGTTATGACAGTTAGATATATATGATGCATCCCCCAATTAATAACTTATTTAAAAACCTGCATTATATGATTTGTTTTCTTTCACATTCTATTTTTAGTTCTTGTGTAACCCCAGAATGCAGCACAGCGCCTCCCTCACGTCATTCAGTTTGTATATTTTCAACGTGTTTGTGAGGCCCTCTAGAGGAGCATCAACAACATCACAAAATACACCCTTGTAAGTTTGCTTCATACAAGAATAGGAGGAATCAAATAAACTCCAAGTGTGTATAGAGGCTTGTATCATATTGTGAAGTATGAGGTTAACTTTATTAATGCTCAGTTACAATCTCCCTTCCTTTTTATTATGTCACTCAGTCGTTCGCCCCTGCCAGTTACTCTGTTGTGGGATTTTGCTCTCATGCAAACAACGTCCTGTTGATCATCACCATGTTGACGCAAACTGACTTCCTTTCATGCAGTGAAAAGAAAACTGTTTGTAAAATCACGTGCTGGGACACGTGTTGTGAGAAAGAGTGAGTGAGTTCTGTCACAGGATGAAAGAGAGCAGAGTCAGGACTGTGAGTGCAGAGTTTCTCTTTCTGTATGATGAATTGTGTCATGTGGTTTATGTTATATGTTTAAATATTTCATATTTTGTTCTTCTTCACACCATCAGCTTTAACTTTGACTCCATCATACTTTAGCCACACTGAGTTATGGAGGTAGAAATGACCTTTTATGGAGTCTGACTCAGGTCAGCTGTTATGATTCACTACCCTCAATTCAAACACACTCATAGTCTAAATATAGAGTTAAGATGTATTGTTTGTGAGATAATGTATTTTCTTGTCTATGCAAAACCTCGTGGGTGTCAAGCTTCCTTTATCTTACTAACCGTGAAGAAAACGGCATCAGACAAAATAACAAAGTATGGCAAATACTTTTGTGTCATCAGACACACAGAGGTTGTTCACTGATCTCAACAGAAGTAAAAGAAACGTAGGGGTACAGATCAAAATTAGATTTGATATCCAAAATTAAAAAACATATAATCGAAAAGTGTCTTCAAATGTGGGAGGGTGCAGAGCAGGCAAAAGTTGACAGCAAGCAGAAATAGCTTGAGATGTAATAGAGGAAGTACCATGAGGGGAATTACTCAACCAACAACACAGAGGAGATTATTTTATATATTATATATATTTAATGGTGGTTAAACTTGACATATTTTTAGGCCAAATAAAAAGGGCGAGGTTTAATTGTAAGTGCAGTGAAATGTCCATATAGGCTTATCATTTCTATTGAACTCTCCGTTTTTGTAACTAAAAACCGAGAAGAGGAAGCTGGGTCACCTTGTCAGTGCTGTTACACACCAGCACAACTTCCTGCTTGTGAGTGTGTGTATTTGTGGTTTTGACATGGACACAGAAGTAGAGAGAGATAGAGACACACAGAAAGAGAGAGAGAGGGTTGGATACAGTTTGACAGTCATCAAAAGAGTTGCAGCCGACAGCAGCAGAGAGCAGAAGAATGGAGCCAGAGGAGATCAGAGAGGGATATTTGGTGAAAAAGGTAAGAGCTGCAAAGAAACACGGTACGAGTCCAATTCCTCCTTCTATTCTTACATTTGTTTGGTTTGACCTTGTTGTTGACGAGTGTAGGAATTAAATTATAGCAGATAATATTAAATTGGAAACTGTATTGCTCCTAAAATAAAGAGTAAAGACAATCTGACATTTGAATCACCAGAGATACTTCGACATTTGGCTTCACAGGGATACACTCAACATGTATCAGTGTATGAGATGAAAAAATATTGAATTCAAAGTTGCAATAAACTAAATAAATAATGATGTGGTCAAACAGGGATGTTAAAGGTTTTTTTTTATTTTTCATCGTCAAACCACCACCTACAGGAAGAGTTGTGCCGGTGACGAACGTTGCTGCATAATTCACAGAAACATAATTCTGTTCCTCAGCTGCAACCAAAACTCAAAGTTGCTGCTTCTCCTCAGAAACCACCGTTTTTTTAGGCGGAGACAGTTGTGCTTTTTGTTTTCGCCAACACCCCCAACATGCAAACCTCATGCCTATCTATAAACTTTATTTAAATTAATCTGCTTTCCATGCCCAGTTTTAGTATTAAAATGTGTGTATCTTACTGAATTCCCCTGTATACATTTTATGTTCTTTTCATTTTCTTCCAAAGCACTTTGGTGAAATCTTCTGCATTTTAACTTTACGGGTGCCACAGCTGCGTAATGGTAGCAACAAAAGGCGTTGACATAAAACATTCTTCATCATGGACAGAGTGGTGGAACAGTCAGAGGTGTTGGAAGTTGATGAGTGGTGTGTGAGCTCATTCATGACACATGTGGGTGTGTGTCATGAAAGTAAAATTAACGTGAAACACTAAATTCAATAGAAAAATTAGTCCAGGAAAAAAACTGTAACATCCAGGTGTAAAACTATTGAATAATTAAGAATGGACAAGTGCCACAAACTTTACTTTTGGACCAATGTAATAATATGTATACATGGTCACCTGTCTCACTGATCTCCAGGGTACAGTGCTGAACTCTTGGAAGGCCATGTGGGTGGTGCTGTCGGAAGATGGCGTGGAATTCTTCAAAAAGAAAACAGACCGTTCTCCGAAAGGAATGATCCCACTGAAGGGAGCAACACTCGTCAGTCCGTACCAGGATTTTGGAAAAAGGACGGTAAGAATGTCTAAAGTATATGATTTAATCAATGTCTATGTCAAAGTTTAAGAACTGTTATTGGTGTTGATTTTCATCATATCTAAGAGAAAATCCGAGTAGAAGGAAAAAACATTTTAAAAGCGTGACTGACTGATAATGCTTCTTTTAGCTGGTTTTCAAGTTGACCACTGAAAAGAAGCAGGATCACTTCTTCCAAGCTGCATACTTGGAGGAGAGAGAGTTTTGGGTCAAGGACATCAAGAGGGCCATTACCTGCCTGCAGGGGGGGAAAAAGTTTGCCAGGAAGTCGACTAGACGCTCCATCCGCCTGGCTGAAACGATAAACCTCACGTACGTTCTGAGACATCTTGCTGGTGAAATTCTGTTACTGGCAGAATTAGCCAATCATGAAATTGAGTCACAGTTAAGATTAAGTTGCTGTTAACTGAAAAGTCTGTGGCTGATCAGAAACCTGCAAAAGGGATTCAAGTATTTACTCACAAACACAGAGCGTTTCTTTTAAAGGGAATTTTTTTAGAGAAGACTTTGGTATATTTCTTGTAGATATGAAGACATGTTGGATTTACATTTTGTTTTTCGCAGTGAGCTGTACACACTGATGAAAGACCAGGATGATGGAGTGAAAGAGTTGAAACTGGAGCAGGCGAACCGAATCTTCAATCATTGTTTCACTGGTACTGTGGTCTGGGTTTTATTGATGCTACACGTCTGGAAGAATTTCTGTTTCTCTCTTTAACCTCATAATGGTCTCAGCATTTTTCTCGCCCTCGCTGTTTTGTCTCAGGTGTGACAGTGGTGGATTGGCTGATTTCAAAGGAGAAAGCAAGAAACAGACCTGAGGCCCTTATGTTAGCAGCAGGGCTCCTGAATGAGGGTTTTGTGCAGCCTGCAGGTGACCAGGCCAAAGACGGAGCAGAGAGTGGAGAGCTGACAACCTTCTTAGATCAGACAAACGCTCTGTACTACTTTGTAAGTTCAGATGAGAGTCAGAAAGAACTATTTGACAAACTATGTCATCTTTTTTAATGCACGGAAAGTATTTATTTGTCTTTTTACTTTAAGACAAGTACAGGAGAACAATGAAAAAGCGCATATATGAAAACCTATTTTACAGAATAAAGAATGAAGAAAGATAGTTTTGTCCAAGTTCTATTGTTACAGGTATTAGAGACTAATCTATATCGGTTGGGTTCTAATATATATTTATGTTTGCATGGTTATGTTTCTGTGTGACAGGCCGACAGTGGGTTCTTCTGTGAAGGCTACTCCAGTGATGAAGATGTGCTTGTGAAGGAGGAATTCAGAGGAAATATCATAAAACAAGGGTGTTTACTCAAACAGGTGAGTTTGATTGCGTTATTCTGACAGTGTTGATTTACACAACTTAGATCTTAGACTTAGATCAAATATTATAATAAGAATCTCCAGATGAGAAACCATCTCTGCTTAACTGTCCCACTGCAAAACATGACACCTATTATATTAATCGCCACACCCAAACACTATAGATAAACATCAGAGTAATCTGCTGAAAGAGGAAATGTACTCATATTTTTATTTATTTCTTCCGTGTTCTTTTATCACAGGGACATAGGAGAAAAAACTGGAAGGTGCGAAAGTTCATCCTGAGAGATGACCCTGCTTTTGTTCATTATTATGATCCCTCAAAGGTAAAGAAGGAGTCAGCAGTTACCCTCACCCACACGCAGTGCTCAAATCTAGAATGAAAACGTCTGTGTATTTTCCTGCTCCTACGTTCTTCCTTTCTTTCTCTGTGTCAGGGTGATGACCCTCTGGGCTCCATCCATCTCCGCGGCTCCGTGGTTACAGCGGTGGAGTTTGTCCCTGATGGTAAGTGACAACACTGCCACAGGACACATGTCGTCTGTCTGCTTTCCTTCTGCCACCAGCAAATATAAATAGTGTTTACTGCCAGTGTGTTTCGCTTCCCCTTCCCTTTTTAACTCCCTTTCTCGTCTCTCCAGCCAAAAAATACGACGTTGATGGCAACCTATTCGAGATCATCACATCGGATGAGGTCCACTACTTCCTCCAAGCTGCCACTAGTGAGGAGAGAAAGGAGTGGATCAAGGCGATACAGGCGGTGTCAAAGAGTGGCAAATAACAGGCAGTCTGATTATAAAAGTTTGATGGATCAGTCAGTACATTGAACAGTGTGTCAACTAACAACTAAAACATGTTAATGTGGTGCTGTGCCATCACACAACAATAATAACTTCATCTACCTTCTCTACCCGAACAAACTATATTGTTTCTGTGAAGTATGTTACTAACCAAAGACAAATTTAACAGCATTAAAATTTCAAACTAATGTCTGATGTCAGTTTCAAGGTTATAAGGTGTAACATCTTGGGAGTAATGACTTGATAACATTACACAGTGAATAATTCATATATTTTCAATATCAAGAATGTTTCAAGGTTAAGTATTATGGTTTATTTTTTATGATACAGCAACATTAGGGCAAGAACTTGAAAGTGAAATAGGGAAGAACAGTTTGCTAAAAAAGAAACCAAATAATGGCACTGTGTCTAAATCCTATCGTACAGTAATAATATGTGTAATGTAGTTAATGCTAATAGAGAGACAACTTATGTTTTAATATTAGTGACACTGGATTGTATAATTACCTTGGAATGGGAAACCAAAAAAGTAGAAAAGTAGG